CGGTGGTCTCGTTGGGGGCGCCGGCGCTCTCCAAGTCCATCAACTGCTTAAGTATTTCGAGTTTCTTTTTGCCCAAATCTTCGCTATCGCTGTCCACGTCTTCGCCGTCATATTTGCCGCTCCTATGTGTCGGCCGTTTCGACGTCGAAGAGGAGACACTGTGGCCGCCCATCGGCGGAGACTCTGAGCGCCGATTTGGCGCCAACACTAACGACTTGACCTTCGCGTCCGATTTGTCTTCACTCTTAATGGACGAACCCTTACCACCGCTGCCGCCGCCCGACACGTGTCGATGAGATGGCGGCGGCGGAGAGAGTGGTGTCTGAGCGGTCGGAGGAGACGATTGCTTATCGTTGGTCCGTCTCTTACGGCTCATGCGATACCTCAGATCCGACTCATCCATCGTTTGCTGTCCACCGGCAGCACCTCTTCGGGCGTTAAAATTGCCGAGTCTTTCAAACACAGACTTCCTCTCAATGGGTGGCAACTGTTGTCCTCCACCGGAGCCGACGCTGTTGTTGCTGTTGATGGCGTCCGTCGGCCGGAACTCCTCTGGAGATTCAATTTTGCGGCGACCCATCACTTCCCGCGATGTACTCAACGCTATGAAGTCCAAAGTGGCCGACAATCGGGTGATTATTAGGCCAACGACTGGAACCGATGAATGCGATCGCAATAACAATGGAGTCAATGGTTGTCGCGATTGACAGGCAATGCATTGAATGCGCAAAAGCTATGCATTCATTGCATGTTTTGTCAATGCATTCAATGTTTATGTTTTGCTGAACACAAACAACGACCAAAACTTTTGTCTCCCCTTTTCTGGCCATCGCTTCGAGATTGCCGTCCATTTGGTACTCAATTAAGCATTAATTTCCAAAACTTGTGATAATTACTATAATTAGCGGTAAGTGTTGTCTATTAATCACTATTAATAATGCAGTCATTGATTACCACGTTATCTGTAAATCGTGTCCAAAACTATTTCCTTTGAGATAATGAAGTTTTGAGCGCTTTTTTCCACACGTTTTCAATGAGATATTGAAATGTGTTTTGTATTGAAAGAGAAAAACATTGAAATCATGTGACCATTCATTTCATTATCTCATCAATCGTTTGGACTTTTAATTATGTTTTAATTTAAATTATATCTCAATTAAAGTTTGAATGTCTTTGACTTTTATGTTGACATCGAAATGAAGTGTATTTTGAGATGAAGACAATGTCCAACATTTCCATCCCATTAGTTGTCTGTATTTATCACTTATTTTCTTTGATTTTGTCCCCAATTTGTAACTATAATAATGTGTTAAATGTATTATCATTTCCTGTGGCCGACAGTCGGGAGCGATGGCCGGGATGTGCGTTGACTTAACACTCTTTCCCATCGACACCATTAAGACACGGATCCAAAGCGACGCCGGCTTCTGGAAGTCCGGCGGCTTTCGGCACATTTACTCCGGCCTCTCGTCAGCTATGGTTGGATCGGCTCCTAATGGTAGTCACCCTTAAGATCACTGTTTTGATTGCCAATTGATTTAATTATTACTCTACATTTTAATTGGCTGTTTAGCGGCGCTATTCTTCTGCGCTTACGAGACATCGAAGAGTACTTTAAAGACATATATGTCTGAAAGATATGATCCCATCATTCATATGGTGTCCGCTTCCGCTGGAGAAGTGGTCCGTATTTTTATTGTTGTAACACTTTATTTAATACAGAAATTACTAACATTTCACATGTTTTACAAACAGACGGCGTGTTTAATACGAGTGCCGACAGAAGTGGTCAAACAGAGAGCTCAGGCCTCCAATATGTCCAGCAGTTTAATATTGAGGACAACTATCTCTCGGGAAGGGTTTAGTGGTTTATATCGCGGATATTTGAGTACAATTGTACGCGAAATACCATTTTCTTTGATACAGTTTCCCGTTTGGGAAGTGCTTAAGAAGAAATGGTCAACACATCAGGGAATGCCGTTAAATCCCATACAATCGACTGTTTGCGGGGCAGCGGCCGGTGGTTTGGCCGCCCTATTGACCACTCCATTAGATTTAGCCAAAACTCGCATAATGTTGGCCGAGAGGGGCAAAGCGTTTTCATTCATTGATATTGTGGTCGTTCTTAAAGACATTTACCAAAGAAATGGATTTATTGGGTAATCATTGGATTCAAGCAAACTATTTACATTGTTAAATAGTAATGCATTTCTGGTTTTTTAGTTTATGGTCCGGTGCTGTTCCCCGAGTGACTCAAATATCAATCGGTGGCGCAATATTCCTCGGCGGTTACGACATTATCTCAACGTTTTTAAAGAGTTTATGATTAGATATTTTAAAATTTATAAAGTACTATTTATATTATATTTGTAATATTTTATATAATCATTAGTTGTTTATTAATTAGTCAATATTCTAGGAATAATTAGTCATTTGTTTTGTATAAAAATGATTTTGTAACTAAAATTAGTAATTTTACTTGAATGTTATCACCACTGGTCCACATACCTGTCCATTACTACCCCAATTAGAGCAAAAACCATTTATCACAATTATAAATTAAAAGTAACTTTTATTAAACTATTGAGTATTGAGTTAAAATCATAAAAACATATATAAATATTTGTTAATTAAATAAAATCATAACATTTGAAAACGAATAAACATAACGTAAAATAAGTGCAAAAATCAATACAAAATAAATAATATGATATAAAATTGAATTAAATTCAGATGAGAACCAACTCGTCGTTGGCGTCGAAGCCGGCCTTCTGTGAGCCATATTTGACGCGGAAGTTATTGAATCCGGCGGTCACTCTCTGCTCGTCCTTCGAGTGCGGTTTGATTATCGACAGACAAGAGTCGGGTCTATTGGTGGCCGTAATCCTCAGATTCGGTGCATTCACTTTCACCGAATTCTCGCTCGGATTCATGTATACCACGACTTTGCCGTACGATTTGGTGATCATTAGGTCACCGGTCAACACGTGCTGACGGATTCGTAGACCTATTCGTGTGATTAAAACGTTTTATTCATTGCAATTGAATTCAATTACGAATTGTGTGAATACCCGGGAAATACCAAAACTTCTCGTCTCCCTCTTCGGACACTTCATAACTGCCACGGATTAGGTCAGCGAACGCTCTCTGACGCCCGTAATCGGCACTCAGGGCGTGACTGTTGAAGATGTCGAGAGAGAAGTCGTGGTTGAGTTTGCGGAAGCGCTCAGTAGTCGTCTTACAGCCGGAGGAGTCGACCAAATAGATGAGCGATCGGTTGAGTGACGTGAAAGTGATGCCTCGGCCGCACATTTTGGCCAAATGTATGCCACTCTCGATGTGACAGTTGTTCTGCGGAACCAACTCTTTGAATACGCGGCCGAATCGGTGGACAACTCCGATGTTTTGTCCGGAATTACTGACCGACACTTTGGAGTCACCCATCGATACATAGATCGAGTGATTGGCGTTTATATCGACGCGAATGCCTTTGAATAGATTGATGGCCAGTGAGCCGTCGCAAGTGACCAGTGGCTGACCAATCAGCTCATCGGCACAGCAGTAATCGTTGGCCACAATCGGCGCCGGAATCTTATCGACAACCAATCGGTTGGGAGTTTGCGACAGAAACTCTTGACCCAAATCTTTGCTCTCATTATTAGCGCTATTTTCGGCGATATTAGTGTTGACCACCGCTGACGGCGAGTAACTCGTGTCCATCACTGCTTACGGCAAACACTGCTTCACACGATATCAACAAAAACTAATTACAAGACAATAGACGGCAACAAAAACTCCGAAAAACAAAACCAAAAGTCTTTTCAAAAAGAAGTGATTTTCGGGACAGAAATGGAAGAAAGAAAACGCAAAACACTATTACTTTTGGACTGTATTTCAAACGAAAGCCAAAAAGTCGTTACAATAATGTGTTTGTATCGAAACATCTCATGATTTGTATGCAATTAAATCAATGTATCGTTTGTTTGGTAAAGAGCGCTACAGAATTTACACAATATTAACAATTGTTTCAAAATGTCAAAATACCGAAAGTTACGCTCAGATCAAAACGATTATCAAAAACAATATTTAATTAATTAAGTTAGGTTACTGACATTGAATCATCGGGAGGGCCCCAACCCCTCCCAACCCTTATACCAATGACACAGAATTACATTTAATTTAATTGTAAATGACTTTATTTGCAAATTTAGCGCATATTATATTTCATATGTTTAGCATTCATTGCATTTCACACATAACGTACAAAAACCACTTACGAGAGGGAGTTATGAATCAATTGATTGTTATACCGCTTGTATTGATTGTGACATTAATTGGGGGCCAAAAGGGGCGCCAAAACAGTGTCCGCACGTTATATGCGAACGACTCGTATATTTTGATTGCATAACAAAAACACACGTTTTGTTTGAACGAAAAGACATGACATTTATGTTTGACTTATTGTGTGTTTTCTTCGCATTTGAATGAATGGATTGTTTTGTCGACGACTTCGAGGAATATGACGAAGACGTGGCCGACCACAGGGGAGGCGACCAATTGGACCGAATACTGGTGCCTAAGTTACCGGTGGCCACGTTTGACGACTACGACCCCTCGCGTCCGCCCACTTCTGGCGAAGAGTATCTGAGACGAGTTCAGTCAGTCCTTTACCGCCGATGACGGCCGACGATATGTCTCGACTCTAATCTATACTTTCTATGCCATTAGACTGGAGGCCCAGAAGTGTCCCGATTTTGTTGTCTCTGATATGGATTTAAGTAAATTTAAGTCCAACCAAACGATGGTCATCGAAGACGTGAGTAGTGGTCCAGTGATAGTCGTGTTGTGATAATTGATTTGTGGTTTTTTCAAACTAATAGTCCAATGGCTTCGTGAGAG